TTGAGAGAGAGAGAGAGAGACAGAGCATGAGTGAGGAAGGGGCAGAGAGGGAGACACAGAAGCCATAGCAGACTCTAGGCTCTGAGCTGTCAGCACAGAGCCTGATGTGGGGGGCTCAAACTCACTGACTGCAAGATCATGACTTGAGCTGAAGTCTGACATTCAACCGACTGAGCTACCCAGGCACCTGAGCCACCCTATCTTTTATGATGGTCTTAATTGGCAAAAGAGCAATTGATGGGCATCATGTGAAAACCTGGGAACTTCGTCTTCCGTAAGGTCAATTTGAATCACAAGCCCCTTCGCAACAGATAAATCTGAACCAAAAATACTTATAAGAAACCCACTATACATGGCATAAGGGAACAGAGCATTTTTCTCAGATTAAAAGGTTTTATAGGGCAAGTTTACATGTAAGGATATAATTATGAAGGTTAAAAAAAATCAATCAGATTGCAATGTTTGGTCAAGATGCCTAGTAAGTGATGTAAATAGCATTAAAATCCTGGACACATAAAAATTTTCTTCTGAGTGTTTCAAAGAATTTGATAGACATTGTCTTACGGGCTCATAACAGGGATTATCATTCCTAACTCACATATGGAAAAACAAGGTCAAGTGTACCACTCTCAAAGGCCCTCTGATGGTCTCCTTTTAAACAAACGTATCCTAACACACCAGCACAGTAAGTCATATTTTAGTACTCAGACTTATGGCAAATATTCTGCTTTGAAATAAAAATCTTTTCCAAAAAAAAATGTTCTTATGGATATTTATGAGGAAGTTCAAAAGTTTCAAACTGATCAGCAGTAATGAATCAAAAATAAAAAGAGCTCAGTACAGTTATTTTCAACAGTGAAGAATATGTCAACCAGTAATTTCTACCCCCCCCCCACCCCGCCCCCCTTTCTGGAGAGAGAAAACTCCAAAACATATGGCCCAGGAAGAAAATCTGTACTCATTTATAGCAATGAACTGGCTTTTACATCTCTGTGGCTAGAGTACGCAAATGACTTCACAGGCAACGGCTTCCGTATGTTTCATATTTTTAACGTTGACCGTTCATAATAAAGATTCTTTGATCCTGGATCAAATGTTTGAATCAATTTTCTCTACACTTACTCAGAGTCACCGTTATGAAAGCTCCCTCTTCCCCACCTCAGATGTTCCAGCCCTCACTGCCATAGGAACCAGCTCCATTTGTCACCTTCTCCCTGGTACATCCCACCCCTTTGCTGTGGTTTTGAGCTGCGCTCCCTACCCTCTCCTGTAAAAGAGGCACCACAATAAAGAATTTTTGTGCATAGCAGGTTAACTGCAATACAGAAGGTTCTAGCAGGCTAACTGCAATAAAGAAGGCTCCTCTAAGGAATATTTGGGCATCTTTAATAACGCCGGAAGTTCACAGTGGTACGTATGAGGAGCGCAAAAAAATTAAAACGTCCTCAACAGGTGAGGCCTTTCCCCTACAGGAAAGAAAAATTAAAAAAAAAAACTTAAATACATATTTTTAAAGCTAGATCATACTTCTGGGACTAGAACTGGAAAAAGTGAACGGGAACCTAAAGACTTAAATAAAAGCAAATATAAAAAACCCTAAAATCTAGGTAAGTAGTAAAGACATCAAATAAAAAAAGTGTCTAAGTGATGCCAAAAATGTAAAATCTTCAATATAAAATTATCTCAAACTATTCCAAGGCCTTTTTTTAAACCCAATGAGTAGCAACATCTTTAATATAACCTTAATTGCTAACACCTTAAAACATGAATTTTGCAGAAAGGTATTCTGCAAAATTAAAAGCTAATGTGAAAAGTTGTTTTTAGTTTTCTAGTGGTTAATACAATAAATTTGGTATTATACTGTATTTGGGCCTAATTAGATCTCATGTTATTACAAAAACAAAAGAAAAAAAAGAAAAAAAGAAAAAGAAAAAAGAAAGGAAAGAGAAAAGAAAAATATCCTGGCAATAAAATTCCCTTTAAAATGCATTTTTTTGGGGGCACCTGGGTGGCTCAGTCAGTTAAGCATCTGACATAGGTTCAGGTCATGATCTCATGGTTTGGTTTATGGATTCAAGCCCCACATGGGGCTCTGTGCTGACAGCTCAGAGCCTGGAGCCTGCTTCAGATTCCGTGTCTCTCTCTCTCTCTCTCTCTCTCTCTCTCTCTCTCTCTGTCCCTCCCCCTCACATTCTGTGTCTCTTTCTCTCAAAAATAAATAAACATTTTTAAAAAAATTTTAGTGCATTTTTTTCTTTCCTTTTTTTTTCATTGGACTGGTAGTCAGGTCCTGTTTGAGGATAATTTAGGTTCCTATGTACTATGATTCATTTCAAAATACAGCCAGATAACCTGAAAAAAACATATAGTTAGAATGCTAATTCAGACCATGTCCCGAGCACTTGTACATATCAAGATGGCACATTGTTAGGTGTGAAGGCAAGGGGTCTGGAGTTGGCTGTAGACTTAACAACATTGTTCTAGGCAAAACTGAACTTTCCTGGCTGTATACAAAACGAGTTGTTGCACAGGTCATCCGCCCACCCCAGTGATTCAAGATTACCTTGCACACAGTAGCAAACTGTTGGTTACTTCCTGCTCCAACTACAAGATATCCATCCTTGGTTTTAAAAGCCTAAAAGAAATCAATAAATACATAAGTACATACATACATACATACATACAAATACATAGATACATGAATATATAACTTTATATATTGAAAATACCATAAAAGTTAGCTTTAATTTCTAAAACTTCTATATAGAAAGCATGTTCTAAAGTACATTACTAATTAAATAAATATTAATTAGTAGATTTTGTTCTTATATTTGCATAGTTGGTTTCTTTTGTTTTGTTTTGTTTTGTTTTTGTTAATTTGGGATTTTCAAAGCACTTCCTGGCTCTTCCACTAACTGTTGTAACACGGCTTGGAAAAATAAAGAAAATACTAAATTAAACTAAAACAGTTTTATTATAATGCATAACATGAAATTCTGTATTCATTATAGTATGGATTAATGTTGGGCTTTTCCAAAGTTTTATATTTTGTTTGTTTCCATTTTTCCTTGGAGGGAAAAGAGCAAGAGGATGCAATGTTTTCTACAAACTGAAAGAAAAATAAATGAATGGGAGGGAGGGAGAGAGGGAGGGAGGGAGGGAGGGAGGAAGGAAGGAAGGAAGGAAGGAAGGAAGGAAGGAAGGAAGGAAGGAAGGAAGGAAGGAAACAGGGAGGGAGGAGGGAGGAAGGGAGGGTGGAAGGGAGGATGCATACACTGATACATTTTATCTTTGAAGATCTCATATGTAAACTTTTGGACAATTTACTTTTCATTAAGTGAAAATTGACACATGTGGATCTCTGAACCTCATGTGGTTTTTATGTACTTGAAAACGTTTGTTGCTTCTAGGAGACACATTCATTTGAGCAGCAACAAGAATATAAGAAATTGATACACTCACCTCCCAGAGCATCTGGAGAACTCTCTTCTCCACATTTGATCACAGTGATGGTTGGAGGAACCAAATTTTACCCACAGAAGGCCTCATTCCCACTTTCTTAAATGAGTTCCTTTAGTTTCCTTCTTTTCTATATAAACATTACTCTGTATTTTCACCTACTCTTTCTTTACTTACTCCTGCCTCTGAGAAAGATGACTTCAATCTTCCTTGCCAGGGCTTGCTCCTATACTAAAAACCCTGGTCCCTGGGGCGCCTGGGTGGTGCAGTCGGTTAAGCGTCCGACTTCAGCCAGGTCACGATCTCGCGGTCCGTGAGTTCGAGCCCCGCGTCGGGCTCTGGGCTGATGGCTCGGAGCCTGGAGCCTGTTTCCGATTCTGTGTCTCCCTCTCTCTCTGCCCCTCCCCCATTCATGCTCTGTCTCTCTCTGTCCCAAAAATAAATAAACGTTGAAAAAAAAAATTTAAAAAAAAAAAATAAAAACCCTGGTCCCACCCTCACTCATATCCCTCAGAACCTTGCTCAATCATCCTTAATCTCTTCATTCCGACTAGATCCTTTTCTTTCTGCCTACATATAGGCTCACGTCTACACTAAAAATATTAACAGCAACAAAACAAAATTTCTATCAATCCTGTTATCCTTCTCAGGCTATCTTGAAATTTTCTTCCTTCCCTCCATCTCTGAATGATATAAAATTCCACCTGCCTACACTTCTTCATCAACGCCACATGCCAATGCCCTTTGTCATCAGGATTTTTATCCGATCTTTACACTGAAACTATTCTTTCTTGACCCCTCTGTATTATTTGGTACTGTTAACCATCCCTTCCTCCAGGAACCTGTCTTATCACTAGGCTCCATTTCGGTTCATCTCCAATCTCTCTGACCTGTATTCCGCATTCCCCTTTCTCAGAATTATCTTCTTCTTAGCCTTCAGGATCTGTATGTGTCTTTCACTTCACTTGCTTCCTATAATAGCCATTAGCCGCATGTGGCTATTAAATTTAAATAAACTAAAATTAAATTAGCCAGTCACAAAAGACCACATATTTTGATAGCATTTATATGATATGTCCAAAATAGGGAAATCCATAGAGACAGAAAGATTGGCGGCCACCCAGGGCTGAGAAGATGGGGAGAATTTGGGGGTGTGACCACTACCACTAATGAGTTCTGGGTTTCCTGATGGGGTGATGAAAATGTTCCAAGATTGTTGTAATGTACACTTTACATGAGTGAATTATGATAGATCAATTATATCTCAGTAGAGATGTTATTAAGAAAAATGTAAGTAACAGCTCAGTTCCACAGACCCACTAGCCACAATGTCAAACATTCAAAAGCCATGGCTGTCATATCAGCGTAGATAAAGAGCATTTCCAGCATCATTGAAAGTCCCGTTGTCTGGTGCTGGGAAACCGAAGCTGGAAGATGGTATGTTTTCTTTTTATTCTTCCTACTAGACCTAACATGATATCTGAAGAATGTTAGGCAATTAATAAATGGCCGTAAAGTGTAATAAATCTCTCAGATAACTGCTTCCATATAATAGACTCATGGCTAAAATGAATCTCAGGCAAAACATTATTAATGGGGTTTATTCTATTTACATTTTTGCTTGATTTGGTAATGAATGCTACTAAAAAGATATCACATGAACTATTTTAAAAGTTTATCTTCCCTGTTCACAGGGCAAAAGCAAAGTTTGTGTTATAAACAATGCATTGGTGTTTCTCAAACTATGGAAAGGGAATTTGCAATGGAGGTATGAGTGAGGAGCAAAGGATTTTGAACAGAGATGCCCCAATAAACCATTGATAACTATGAAAGTACACAGACTGTCAGCTTGTTTTTTTGTTTGTTTGTTTTCTGGAGAAAATCTGAGTTGGGAAGTGAATAAGCAATATGAAGTAACAATGTATGCTACCAGGTATAATGTGAAAAAAGATTTTCAAAATTTTAGAGGTGCCTGGGTAGCTCAGTTGGTTAAGTATCCGACTCTTGATTTTGGCTCAGATCATGATCTCACAGTTTGTGAGTTTGAGCCCCACGTCAGGCTCCACACTGAGAGTACAGAGCCTGCTTGGGATTCTCTCTCTCCCTGCCCCTCCTCTGCTCAGCCTCTGTCTTTTCTGTCTCCCTCTCAAAATAAATAAATAAATAAACTTTAAAATTTTAGATTAGTGACATAAAACTCAGCAAGTTTACATTTTTGAAGATCCTCATTCCCTTTTAATTAATGAAGAAGTGTGTCTTCCTTAAGCCTTAGCTATGCCATGAAATATGTCTTTATCAATATAAAACTTTCAAAACTTTAAGCAGAGATAACCAGTTAATGATCACAGGAAAATGAAGACTGCATAGTGGCTGAGCACCAAACACAATTAAAGATCATTAAATAGATTTATAAGGATAAAGGTAAGATTGAGTTCTTTAAATGCTTATTTGTTCCCTGTTATTGTTCCTACAGTGTTTATTTAATAAATATATTTTAAGTAAAAACTTAAAAACAAAGTATTGGCTGAAGAGTAAATAATTATGTCCCAGAGTCGCATGTTGAAATCCTAACCCCAATATGATGGTATTAGGAGTATGAAAATTAATAGAGGGAAACGTCACTAAAGTGGAGTCAGGAGACTAAAAGGAAAAGCTGTATCACTTGTAATTGACAAGCGTCAATTACAAGAATAGCTGTCCATTACAGACCCCAACACAAGAGTCATCAACAGGAAAGGAAGGCCTCACAGGAAACATGTACGATTGACCCTTGAACAATGGCAACCCACACATGCATACATACAGCTGAAAATCCACGTGTAACTTTTTTTTTTTTTAATTTTTTTTTCAACGTTTATTTATTTTTGGGACAGAGAGAGACAGAGCATGAACGGGGGAGGGGCAGAGAGAGAAAGGGAGACGCAGAGAGAGAAAGGGAGACACAGAGTCGGAAACAGGCTCCAGGCTCTGAGCCATCAGCCCAGAGCCTGACGCGGGGCTCGAACACACGGACCGCGAGATCGTGACCTGGCTGAAGTCGGACGCTTAACCGACTGCGCCACCCAGGCGCCCCAATCCACGTGTAACTTTTGACGCCCCAAAACTTAACTACTGATAGCCTACTGTTGACCATGAGGCTTAGCAATAACATGAATAGTCAATTAGCACATTTTGTATCTTATGTGTATTATACACTGGATTCTTACAATGAAGTAAATCAGAGAAAAGAAAATGTTATTAAGAGAGTCATAAGGTGGGGCGCCTGGGTGGCGCAGTCGGTTAAGCGTCCGACTTCAGCCAGGTCATGATCTCGCGGTCTGTGAGTTCGAGCCCCGCGTCAGGCTCTGGGCTGATGGCTCAGAGCCTGGAGCCTGTTTCCGATTCTGTGTCTCCCTCTCTCTCTGACCCTCCCCCGTTCATGCTCTGTCTCTCTCTGTCCCAAAAATAAATAAACGTTGAAAAAAAAAATTTTTTAAAAAAAAAGAGAGTCATAAGGAAGTACGATACATTTACAGTACTGTACTGTACTTATTGAAAAATTTCCAAGTGTACATGGACTTGTGCCATTCACACCCATGTGGTTCAAAAGTGGCTTGTCCACTGAATCCTCCACAAGAGATCAACTGCCCCTGCAACTCAGCCAATGAGAGACCATCATCACTCGGAACTCTTGCTTTTCTCCAATAGACTTTCATTCAAAACAAATTCTCCCAACTTCCCCCTTCATCTCCATAAAATGACATTCCTCTCCTTTTTTTTTTTTTTTTTTGGACTTGCCTATGGTTTTGTTGTAGCTTTCATGTCCTAAGTTGTAGTTCTCTGTCATTCCCAAATAGGCCATTTTTGCTGATTGCTGATAAAATAACTGACAGTTTTGTTTTTAAGATTAACAGGAACAAGAACATAGCCATCTGTGAATCAGGAAGTAGGTCCCCACCAGGAACTAAATCTGCCAGTGCCCAGATCTTGGACTTCCCCACCTTGAGAACTGTGAGAAATAAATGTCTGTTGCTTAGCCACACAGACTATCGTGTTCTGTTATAGCAGCACAAGTGGGTTAAGAAACTGATACTGAGGAGTGGGATGCCACTGTAACAAATACCTAAAAGTGCACAAGCAGTTTAGAGCCAGGCAATGGGTAGAGAGACTGGAAGAGATCTGGGGTTTATGCTAGAA